TGAACGAAATTTTGATGACATAAGTGGGGGGACTCAAGTAATTTTTAATATAACTATCATATATAAGTTAAGTGTGGTTTCTAATAGTTCTATGTCTGTTTCCTCCACTTTCTCTTGCATCTCTGCTATCCCTCTCCTGACAAAATATATGGATGTATGACATAAACACTTGGACAATTTGGGATGCAACAATCCATGTAGATTACAAACATATAGTTTTACAATTATTATGAACTTGGATGTATAAAATCACATCTATATATTGTATTTGTTATTTTTGATGATAATAATTATATGTAACAATATTACATTTGATTTATCAGAACTTTTTAATAAAGCAAATACACTTTACAAGGTTATTGGAGCTTTAAAATGTGGTGCTGCTTTATGGAGCTAGTTAAGATGTTTTAGGAGGGGTGTTACACATGTCTTTGAATGTAATTTATACTTCAGCTTTTAAAGAAGTCTCTTATCTCTCTATTTCTTTTTCAGACATCCTGGCTGCAAGTCTCATAACCAAACACACACACACACACACACACACACACACACGACACCAATTTAAAGATTTGTCTAAATTGACAAATCTTATATTACAACCTATCTAGATTACGTGACCCAAAAGAAAAAATACCTAATTTATAGTAGCATACTCCCTCACCAGCTGTCGTCTTTTGCAGACCCACGTTTTTCTACAAGACTGTAACTCCTGGACCGATTAAGATATCTCAAAAATCCAAGACATACCAGAAAGCAGAGGTAAAGGCTTGCAACGCTACAGTTCTAATTACGGTAGTGCATAGGACATCTGCAAGGCAAGGCAAGGCAAGGCAATTTTATTTTTACTGTAAAGCACAATTCAGTATATGGACAGTTAAAGGTGCATACATGAATAGCAGCACTTTGACTATCCAATCACAGACGCAAATCAGTGGCGCATTACATCTTTGTAAAGTGATCTTCTCAGGAGTGACAGTGGTAACAGCCAAACACAAAAGAAAAGACAGAGGGCCAATTGGGAGCTTGTGGTCGTTCTTAACCCAGGGAAGAGTGCTTCAGCTTGAGCTGCGGTTTTTGGCTTGTTCCTAGAGCTCGACGATAGTCTTTGTACTGTGGTGTAACATTGTTTTTGGACAGTAAAAAAAGCAGGCTACATGTCCCCCCCGTGCCAAGATTGACAAAACCAGACTTTGATTGATTCCAACAGTCTTCACAGATTTGCCTAAAAAGTTCATCAGACAGCTGCAGCTAATCCAAAATGCTGCATTGCAATATTTGTAATTAAATAACATCCATTCATAGATTTTGTTGAAATGTTCATTTACCCAACCAATGAGTTGGGTCATCAGTCTACTCTTGTACCATTCTGTGCGTCAGAAGCTGAAAAGTTGGGTAAGCTGGAAATGCTGCTTCACTGCACCTCAGAAAGAATGTTGGCTAGGAGAGCCAGCTCTGTCCTAGGGTACCCCAGAGACAGTGCAGATAGTGGAAGAAAAGGTATGTAACAAAAAAATATCATTATTGGGCCATGCATAACACTGTTTCAGAGCAGAACTAATTTATATACAGACTCATAGAAAATTCTGTTTTATCACTTTTGTAAACAAAGAACATGTTTGGTAAATGAAAAGAAAAAAGAAAAAACTATTTTGTAAATTGACATAAAAAAATGCAATGCACAAATGAAATTTTGAAAAATCTTTTTGTGAAACAATTATAAAACAAGATCTGAAAAAGCGGAATACAAAAAGAAAATTAAAATCTGTAGAGTTTAAATAATTACATTTAAAACTTAGATTTCAATTTACAAAATGTGTTTTCTTTACCATTTCTTGTGAAATGATTAAAGAAAGGTGTCCTTTGCCTGCAAAAAATAATGGAACAAAATCCATTCCATAAGCATGCATCCTATACAAAAAGGATAATTGATTCAATAATAGTGTTTACTGTATGGTTTTCAGATCATTCTGCAAAGTGAACGCTGTGTTCCTCATCTTTTATTTTTAAACATTTCAGTTTTTCACCTAAAGAATTTTTTTTTTTACTTTTAACTTCAAAGTATTGCCTATTTTTTTTGTGATGTTTGTTTTTTCTAGTGTAAGGCTTAATTTTAATCCTTAGTTCCTTTAACATTTACTGTAAAAGTGTTGTATGTAACTCATGCATTTGCTGTTTACTTGATTATTTTCTGTTGCCATTATCACACCTACTGTGGGAGAAAAGGTATTTTTCTAACCTATTCCGCCTGACGGCCAACCTTATCAATGATGTGACTGAATACATGCAGGACAAGATGATAATTTTAAAAAGTTATTACTACTAACGACTCAACTATTAAAACAACATATTAAACACTGTGAGTCTGCAGAATTCTGCAAATGATTTAATAAGAACCTTCCATGCATGCAGTACAAATGTTTGATGTCACTTCGATTCCTACTGTAGCTCCAACAGACCTGGCAACACAGATAATTGAAACGCGGGAAATTAATGGATTCACTGCAGGCAGCTTTTGTTTTAAAAACTCCTGTGTCAGTTGTATTTGTTAGAGATGTATTCTGAGATGTTCATAGGAGAACCCCCTCAGCTGCTTGACTCTAAGATACAAGGAAACTGTAAACCCAGCTATTTAGGATCTTATTTGGACAAACCTTAACTCATAAAGTTTTCTTAATACTAAAGCAAAAGACTCATACTTATTATTAAACTGACATCAGATAGAGTTTCAATCTTGCAAAACACATCAAAGGTCAGTTAGTGCAACATTCCTTCTCCCTATATCTAAAACCACAGAAACCATTGAACAATGGCAGGAAACACGGATGAGCTTCCCTTCTCCCTGAGGGTTTATTGAACTAAACTCTATCACGCAGCGCTTTAAAGTCGCCTAGGTATAAAACAAGATTTAAATACAAAAATGTAAATGACTTTAAATCAGACATTTATATCAAAGCCACACTGTAGAAAGAATAACTGTTTTCTGAAAACATAAAACAAACATTTACTGAGATTAACAGCCGTGAGAGAGTCATCTTAGATATACTGTCACTCACCTGATAATTTACAGAAGCAGAGTATCACCCAAAAGACAGCCATGGTTTGAATAATCCACATTGGAAAAGGAAAACCTCTTGGTCACAAACTCAGTTTACAGGCGAACTTTCAGAGCTTCACACCTAAAGCGGTGTCTGTGCGTAACCGCAACGCGCGTTTTTACGCATAATGTATTCCAAAGCTCGCGGTCTGCTGTAAAAAGAACACGTGTTTGTTAAAAGAGCAGCTTTTCAGAGAAGGTATACTACCAACACACTGGACACGGTCAAAGCAAAGTGTTGCTGAAGCTCAGCCTCCTCTGGGTGGGAGAGGAAGGAAAATCGTCACCAGACACTGGAGGACTGCTGGCGCTACAGGTCTTCCCGATGCTATTAATTAATTTGTTTGGAGTTTAAACTTTATATACACATCTTAGTCACTGCATTCTTAAGGAAGAAACACATAGAAGGGAAATGGGAATCTAAAAAAGCTAATATTGAAAGCAATCAAATTTCATATTATTCATAGTTGCTTAATCAAGTATTTTAAAACAATATCTAACCTTTTCAAATTACGGAAGAGTATTGGGGCAACTGAAAAAAAAGTTAAGAGATTTTTACATTTTATTTCAGTTTAACATGGGAAAAAGTTAGAATTATGACTTTTTTCTCAGACTTCTGACTTAAATCTCAGAATTTTGGATCTATGGGCCCCATGAAGGAAGACATATGGGAGCAGTCATCTTCACTGAAAAAGATATGAGTTGTTTGGGAGGACCAGTAACACACTGGTGAAAAATTATGGAATTAGGCGACTTTCGTGCCTGAGGGGTCCCCGGTGATGCTATTACATTAATGGAAGAGGAAAAGGTGATTAAAAGAGGAGAGCTATTCTCTAAAACAAACAAGGCTATGGTTTGATGCCAACATGTTTGTTAGCTGTCAGAATTCTGAGAAAAAGGTCAGAATTCTTAGAAAAAAGTCAGAATTCTGACTTTTTTCCCATATTAAACTGAAATAAAATTTTAAAATCAGTTAACTTTTTTTCCCCAGTGAACCTAATCCTCTTCTGTATCAAATAGTATTACAAAATAAATTCATATAAATGTTTTGTATTTAACCCACTTTTTCCCACAGTGTTAGTGCTTAGCAAAAAGACCATAAATGCTTAAAAGAGAAGAAAAACAAATCAAGTGGACTTTAGTGCTTTATTGAAAATATTTTGATTTTCAACTAAGTCAAACATTTACACCTGCACCAACACAACAGGTATGAGTGACTTTCTTTCCAAAGTGATTGTTTTAGGCACAGAACACAGATTCATTGTGATCAGGGTGAAAGAAGATTCTCTGAAAATACAAAGGTAAAGAAGTCTCAGTTTTCAAAAATAGAAAGTTCAGTATTAGATTAGTTTCAAACTAGTTTATACCTTCTTTCTCATGACTAAATATATTCAGTCAATCTGAAATTAGAACTAGGAATGTACCATTGTTAGTCGAGTCCAATCTGTTTTGTAATTTAAATCCTTTGCATGGAACAAAAAGTTGGGGACTCTCACTCATTAGATTTAAATTAAGAAAAGGATTTGAATGAGGAAAGGAAGGATGAAAGAGGAAACTAGGTGAATTAAAATAAATAATTTACTATGCGTCTTCATAATAAATCAGAGAATCTCAATAAAGACACATGACAGATCTTTTATACATGTTCATTTGTACAACATAATAATAATAATAATAATTATAATAATTTTAACTTATAACTATCTACTACTTTTAGTTAGTTTATTGTATGAAGTCCCAGTTAAATATATCCCTATTCTAGTTGTAGCATCATTGTGATGTGAAAAAGTCAAAATTTATAAATGCTTTCCACGTCGATGAATCTGTGGACATATTTTACAGCTTTTTCTAAGGTGAGATTTTACAATACACATTGCAGTTTTATAAGTTTACTGCATGATGCTGTACAAATAGGTCAAATGCTGATAATACATCCACTATTAATACACAATGTTGCCAATCTTTTTGTTGAGGATATATCCCCATGAGTAACCATTATTTTGTTTTATTTGATTTAATCTCCAGTCCTGAGCATGTGTCCAGGGAGTTTTGGTCACAGAGGCGTATCATCACTGAGAACACTGCAGCTAGTTTCTCCTCTCTGTTTAATTCCAAATTGTGGTTGGAATTTCATGATGTTGACAGCCTCCTTCATAGCTTTAAGAGCCACTGTGAGCTCATTTTAGATCAGGTAGCACCTGTTAGATTTAATCTGGTGAGTTGTAAAGTAACGTGTCCTTGGAATAATAACGTACGTGATATGAAGAGACTTTGTCAAAGTTATATACCCTTTGTATGTAACTGGGCAACTTGAGTTTGCCTAACCAAGCCTTAGAAATCTAGGCCTTATCTTTGACATAACATTGTCCTTAGAGCACTACTCAAAACTGCTGACAAGGAACTGTTTTTACCGACTGAGGAACATCTCTAAACTTAGAACAATTGTGTCCAGAGATGATATTGAAATGATTATCCATGCCTTTGTTTCTTCCTATTTAGATTACTGTAGCAGTCTATTCTTATGCCTAAACAAAAAGGAGTTGTCTCATCTTCTGCAGATTCAGAACTCTGTAGTGAGGTTACTGACTCGTAAAAACAGAAAGGCTCATATTACGCCGATTCTAAACGCTCTTCATTGGCTCCTAGTCTCTTTTGGGTTCCAGTTTAAAATCCTGGTGCTTACCTTTAGGGCCTTTGACAGTCAGGCTTACTCCTACATTGTTGTGTCTTTATACCCCCTCTCGAAGGCTGAGGTCTCCGGACCGGAATTTGGTCATGGTCCCTCGTACTTGTTACACGACTGGGGGAGATCGCTCCTTTCAGGTGGTCGCGACGGTGCTCAGGAACGATCTTCCGTTTTCCTTGCACTTACTTGATTCTTTTAATGTTTTCAATAGCGAACTGAAAACCTTTTTGTTTAAGAAAGCATTTTCATTAAGGGTGGTTTTATGACCATGTCTTTTGTGACTGTAATTGTAAATGTATTTTTATTTGTATTGTAATTTTGTGAAGCACTTTGTGACCTTTATGTCTGTGAAAAGTGCTTTATAAATAAACATTACTTGCTGTACTTACTTACTAGACAAAACCTGGGACCTCCTCATTTGTGTTGTAAAACTGACAGTGCACTCAATTGCTACTCTTCATGTAACTGTGTAAATATTACAGAGAATGCAGCAGCAAGCTTGTGTCAAGTTCTGCCAAATGTAACAGCTTTGTACTCTCACTTGGATGAGCTGCTTACAATCACTGCAGCATTTACAGTCAGCCAGACTCCCCCTTTCCTCCTAATCAGTCAGCCTCAGGAAACGATGAACAATATGCTTGTTGTGTCTATTTCTGCCATGATCTTTTAAATATTCTGCAGTTCTTTTAAATGCGTTGCAGTGTCCCAATCTGAAATGTGTAGTCAGGAGAAATGTCCATGCTTCAATGCTTTATTTGCTCTGCATAAAAACACGCTCACTTGTTTTTATACTACATTTCCTTGTGGCTTCAGACAATTGCCTTGAAGTTCAAATAACTTTTCATTGTTTCAGTTTTCCTGTTTTTTAGTTTTGGGATCACATGGGTTTCATTTGCCTGCAATGTGCTTTCTGTTCTTGATTAAGAAAAAGGAAGCCTTAAATGACATGCTAGTGTAAATGGGTTAGAAATGTCAGATATTTCAATTAGTCAAAAAAAAAATGTATTCATTTCAAAGTGATTACGGAAAGAAAATAGTACAAATATTTATATTAGATTAGTTAAAGTAAAATTGGAAGATAAGTCATAAGATGAATGAGATTTTAAGTGGTTCAGTTTTGGTGGGAATAGCTTTATGCTGCCCTCTTTGCAAAAATGTCTTATTTAATATAATCTTAGGTCAGTCAGCCTCAATGTGGGCTGTTGGTGTCAGTAGAGTGTCTAATTTCTTCCAAAACGCCAGAGTTCTGACTGAAAACTAAGCCTTAAATAAAAATGTGTCATACTTTTTTTTTGTGCATCTTTTAGCACATTGTGAATAAAACCATTAAATAGTGAGAAAAATATGAAGTTTTAAAGTGTTGCAAACAAAGCTTGCTGAAGCCCTTATAGGGCGCTAGAGGAGAAGACTAAGTGCTGGGTCAGCAAGAGGCTTCAGCCTCAGGCTACAGAAAGTCTGTCTAAAGCCAGAGAATAAAAAAAGGATGTGGCCCTTAGTAACTAATCATTAAAACTCCTTTCTTAACATAAGGAATGCATTTTGAGAATAGAGAAGCACAAAATGGAGAATATATAAAAAGGTGCATTTTTGTGTATCTGAGCATAGAAACTGCTAGTGTCTTTACATGATGGTCCATTTAAAAAATAGGGAAGCAATAGAGTGAAAGCACAAACTAATGAAAGCTCTAAGAGGGCACATAAGCAATCCAGTGAGTGTGTGCTTATGTTAACAAATACAAAGGAAATGGCTCTTGTTGGTTGGATAAAAAGGGTGGAGACGAATATGACTTTCACAGTGACAATATCATCCAATGATCCTAGTTGTAATTATGGAATGTTTTTTTGTTGTTGCTATAGTTATAGTCATTGGCTTAATGAGATTACCAGACAAGGTCACTGCTCTGTCAATGTGCTAACTAGAACAATAGTGCTTCAAACAGGAAATCATCTTTATAAACAACACACTTCATAAACGGTTGTGGAAAGCAAGCATTTAAGCGAGGCCAAAAAATGTTTGCATGAACAAAAAGAATGCATAATACTTTCAGTTTTTGAGGTCACCATGATTTTTTAACTTTAGTCTTTGAATTTAATATTAAAATAATAAGTGAAAATCATATAAAAAAAAACAAATTGTATGCATCTTATAATAATACATATAATAATACATATCTATATATATCTATATATATATAGATATATATATATAGATAGATAGATAGATAGATAGATAGATAGAT